ACTCTTTACTTATACATATATAATATATTAGACTTTTAATTTTATATAGTATAAAGATGTATTTTATACATTTAACATACTAAGGTTTAATCTTTTAATAAATTAGACTTTTGATTTAATTAAACTTAAACCTATCTATGGACTTATTAATTGTCCTTTAATTAAAACACTTAATTAGTTAATTAATAAAATCCATGAGGGTATAATATAAACTATTAAAAATACCAAGGTTTTAAATTTAAGATTTCAAAATTAAAGCTATTGAATCAAATTTTAAATCACAAAACCATGCGGGTGTATTTTTAAACTTTTTTAACTACTAGGGTTTAACTATTTAAATTACCAAAAATTAAAACTTTTAATTTAAAATTTAAACTATAAAACCACAAGGGTGCAATTTGAAACTTTTCAAAATCTAGGTTAAATCTTTGAATCAAAATAATCTTATATTATCCATATTTAGCCAAATCCATTAATTTTGATAAGGATATCTCATACCAACCAGAAAAATCGAATTTAGGCATTAAAAACGAGCTATGGTAACTATCCAAATCAAAAAACTGATCAAAAAGTCGAAAAACCCGGCACCAGACGAGTCAACTCGTCGAGTTGGGCAAGGAACTCGTCGAGTTCACCCAACTCGTCGAGTCTGGCTGCCAAACAGCAAAATTTCAATTTCTTGATCCCTTTGGCAGTCCACTCTTGCATCAATTCAATTGAAAAATATCCTAGGCTCTGCTACCACTGATGGATTTTGAGCACTACAACATTCCTATGGTGTACATGCAACCCTAATGCTTTAGGTCTAAGTTTTTCTCTATAGAACATGCAAATACAAACTCCAAAGAAATAACCCTATGGACTAGCATACAATTTCGAAAATTGACATAAACTAGGGTTAGAACATTACCTCACTTGTTATGTAGCAATAACAAGAACTCCTTAACCTTTGAAAGCTTAGTGCCCCAAGTGTTGCACCTCTAATGGAGTCACAAACACCCAATGCAACAAGATGACTTGGAGAGGGAAGGATTTCGGCTAGGGTTCTCTCATAAACTCATAGGGCCGAAAATCCTTAGTGAGAGGGTCCTTTTATAGTTGTGGCTGCTAGGTTTTTTAGGTGGAAACCCTAATACCTTGCTTAGGAAACAAACATCCCCATGAACTCCTTCCTTAGATCCCATTGACGAAATCTATAGGGCTTCCCTATATGATTTCGTCCACTCCACTCTATGGAGTCCATCAACCCAATTTTGCAACTATCAGTGATTTGCACAATAGTCCCTTAATTATTAATTCGTTCCTTTAATCCCAAAATTAATACTAAATTAATTTTTGATTAATAACTAATTAATAATATAATTTCCAAATAATATATTAATCATATAATATATTAATAAAATCATTCTAAGTACCAATTTATTATTCATATAAAAAATCCTACTCTCTCTCCACTTGTCATCCTATCATGTTGCATGAGTGAAGGCAATCCAAAAGGACCATGCTCATAATCAAGTCAAGTACATACCAATTATAGTTATGGGCTTAGACACCTAATCCAACAGGAGGCACCAACACAACGTGTCTGAATATTAAAATTCGCGGGTTTTATTTAGGCAACACGGTGTGTTTCTTCTTGGAACACGGTGTGTTGACTGTTGAAAATGAAACCCTAATATTTTGGGTTTTTCTCCCTATTTAAAGGAATATGGAGGCTAGGGTTTGTTCACCCTTAGCCTCCATCAGCCTCTCAAGCTCTGAAAGAAACTCTAATCATTTCCTCTCCCATTTGTGAGGCTAGTTGGTGTTTGGAGGGAAGAAGGTGAAAGAATGAAGCAAAGATCCAGCAAGCAAGCCCCATTCTTCAGTTTAGCACTCTCATGGACCTTTGTAACTGTCCAAAACCCGATTTTTATCATTTAAAGTTATTAGATCTTTAATTTTGTCCCTTTTCTCCTTGTTCTTAGATATTGCAATGGATAGATCTCATAAAGTTTGCAACTTTATGAATCTCCAGGTCAAGGTAACCTAGTAGTGGGTTGGATCTGGTCTATAACCAATTTTTGATGCCATGCATAGAGATTAGGTCATAAATCCTCCTTTTGACCTAATATGGATTCAAGACATGCATTGGACATGCATGTCTAAAAAGCACCAACCTTTGGGATGGTTTAGGTGATTGAACCACTTCTGGAAGGGATGGACTTCAGATCATAAGGATTAAGGGGATTGTGGTTAAGCCCTTGCATTGTCAAGCTTGTGATTTGGGTTCTTGGACCTTTTGGTAGTCTCAATGGATAAAGTTGGAAACATTATCCTTCCTAATCATATTTTTGGTCTAGATCTGATCTTTGGAGCTCTTGGGGACGAAAAGGCAGCTGAATGTGTTAAGCTGTTGGAACACTGGGAAACACGACGTGTTGTCTGAAGTTTTCCCGTCTGTTTATATGCTCGCGGAACACGGCGTGGCCAGAGGGAACATGACGTGTTGGGTCAACATGGACTGTTGACCTTGACCGTTAACTTTGACCAAGTTAGACTTTGAGGGAATTTTGGGTATTTTGGTCTTTTGATGGACTTGGTCATTTGGTGGATTTAGGTATTGTGCTGTGAAATGAGATTCAAAGTCGGGCCTCATCAGTTCTATCTAGTTGTGTGGTGAGTTTTCCTTACTGTACTTATGGGTCGAAGGCACTAAGGCCGACCCTTTGGATTATTATACTGGTTTATTGTATGATTGTTTACTATAGTGATCTGTTAGATCTGCATCCTGATAGATAAGATGATGTTATGTTTAGTGATTTGTAAGATCTGTCTGTTTGTTTATTGGCTGGTTATTGTATGCTTATCTGTTATATGTGCACATGTTTGGTCAGTGGCTGAGGCTTCATTGCTTTGTGCGTAAGCCAATAGGCCGGGATATTCCAACCCGATGGTTGAGGGTCTAGGGTATTCGATCCCGAGGATGATTAGACCAATAGTATGTTGCCATTCCAACCCGAGGGTTGAGGGCCCGGGGTATTCCAACCCGATGATTGATTAGACCCATAGTATATTGGCATTCCAACTCGATGGTTGAGGGGCCTGGGGTATTCCAACCCGATGGTTGATTGGACTCATAGTATGCTGTTATTGTATATGTGTTATTTGTTGTGTGCTAGTAATTTGGGGGAAATCACTATGCTTTGGGCTTACAGTTTTGTGTTGTGTTTCAGGTACCTCAGATGATCGCGGGAAGGCAAAGGCGTGACCGTGCACTTCCTCATGTTTTGTTTTATGATTTTGGCAAAACTCTGACAATAAACATGTTTTGAAAACTATTTTGTAAACAATGATGGTTTGTGGAATTGCTTGAAAAGTTTAAATTTTTCATGAATTCTATGGATGTTACAGTAGGAATTTCAAATTTGGCTCAGTTGTCATTTACAGATGGATAGGAAGCCATTTCATACAAGAATTTGTAAACAAGTAGAAGATGAGTGTTAGGATGCTTAGAGAGGAGGTGAAAAATAAATTTAGCATTGGAGTGAGTATGAGTCAGCGTAGGAGAGCAAATAAATATTCTTTCACTATAGTTGAAGGCAGAATTGTAGACAATTATGCGATGTTATGGTCATATGGTGAGGAGATTAAAAGATCAAATCTAAGTTCACCTGTAAAACTTTATGTTGATGCAATGCCTGAAGGTAAAAAAAATAAAAATACTTCAGTAGGATTTACATATGTTTTCATGGAGTGAAAGAGGGTTGGAAGTCGGGGTGTAGAAGGGTAATAACCTTGATGGTTGTTTCCTGAAAAGTTATTGCCAAGGTGAGTTACTTTTTGCTGAGGGTAGGGATGCTAACAATGGAATCTTCCCAGTTGCTTGGGCAGTTCTATGTGTAGAGAACAAAGATAATTGGAAATGGTTTATTGAGAATTTTACAAAAGATTTGAGTTGTACACATCAAGGACTTGGTCTAGTTCTAATGTCTGATCAACATAAGGTATGGTTCATTTTGTTATTGTATTACAATAGATGTCCTATCAGTCTTACTTCATCATATGATTCTATATATGTAGCGATTGGTTGAGGAAGTGAATGAGGTCTTACCAACAACAAAACATAGGCAGTGTGCAAGGCATATCTATGTTAACTTTAGAAAAAAATTTCCTAGAGCACAATTTGAGAATATTTTATGGAGGGCAAGTAAAGCAACTACTGAAGAACATTTCAATGCAACCATGAAGGAGATTAAAAAAAATAAACCATGCTTCCTTTGTTCATCTCATGGAAAGGGATCTTTCGACTTGGTCTTTGGTCTTTTTCAGAGTTCACCATGCTTCTTGTGAATCTGTGGATAATGGATACTTAGAAAGCTCCAATATTTTATAATGGATAGTAGGAAGAAACCCATTATCAGTATGTTATAAGATATATGTATTTATGTGATGCAAAGGATGGTCAAGATGCAAGTTAATGGAAAAGGATGGAATCTTTACTATGTATGTCCAGACATCAGAGACAAGTTGAATTAGTTAAAAATTAAGCAAAGGTATGTAAATATACTACTTAATGAATAATTGACAAGTTTGAGCACTAATGAATTGTATTGACTAAATTTAGGTCATGGAAATTTATTTCTTGTAGGGTGATGAAGTTTGAAACAAGAAACATGGATTTGTCATATGTTGTTGATGTGTAGAACAATGAATGCACATGCAAGCTATGACAATTAAATGGGTATGAGTGTGTGCATTAAGTTGCAACATTATCATTCTTAAACTCAAAGCATGATGCACCATATGTAGACTCAATATACTTGGCAGCCTTCTACCATAATTCTTACAAACACCCCATACATGGGATGAATGGAAGCAACATGTGGCCTCCTATAGAACACAACCCTCTTTTAAAAGAAGGATGCTTGCATGCGAACCATAAATAAAAGAAAAGATGCTTCTAAAAGGACTAGAAGAAACACTGTATCAAAGGCTGGAAAACTTGTATCTTGTGGTATATGCAAACAGATAGGACATACAAGACTACTTATAGTCAAGTTGAATGGCCACCTAAAACTAGTGTTAGGAAAAGAAAAGTTGTGAGAAAAATACAACAATCAGTAAACATTGAAGGGGTTGGGCAAGATACTGTTATGGGTGATGAAGCTGCTCAAGATGTTAGGGTTAATGTAGATGAAGTGGAGGTTGGTAATGTAGAACAACCAAGGAAAAGGAAAAAGTTTGAAAGAATCCTTAAAATGAAGCTGGAAAAAAGAGTTGAAGGTGAACGTAGCAGTGCAACAAAATCTATGTAGTTGGATTAGTTTGAGGCTGGGGTATTTCTGTAATTTTTACCTTCGGTGTGTTTGTAAAACAATGAAAATGATGTATGTTTTTTCGGTTTAGTTTTTGATAATTGCTCCTGAGTATAGTTTCTTTTCATGGTTGTATTTAACTTGTTTATTTGGAATATTGGTATAAATTGTTTCCATAACTGACCCTTTTACTCAGTAATGAATAATTACAAATAACATTATACTTGTGGTCTAATAAGAAATTGCAAGCATGGGTGTAACAAATTAGGTGGTAATTACTTGCAAAGTTGACCCTTATTCATATTTTTCCCTACCAAAGTGCCCCCCCATATATGGTCAAATATTAACAAATGAGGTGTTGACTTGAAATATTTTTTTTGTCCTTTTTCTATTATTGGACGTTATTCATATGTCACGCAAAGCTTTAAAAAATTTGGGAAAAGGACACATTAGAAACATTGTTATTCAGTACAACTCCTTTTGTTTTTATTCTCTTTTTCAACTTTGTTGTCTATGTGCAGATTTTGTTAGGTTATTGTGTTGTGTAGTCGTGTATTTTGAGGGGCCATGATGCCCCCCCCCCTTTTAGCATATTTACTAGTTCAAAATCTTTACATAATATGGTCCTAAACTGCACACAAAAACAATTTTTTTTCTTGAAATACAACTACATATGTTCAAGGATTCTAGTCGGATTCGACAAGATGCCTTAAGCTATAATAAAATAAGTAAACAACTAGTAGATAACCATTATATGTTTTCATACATCTGAGTTTCTTAATAGTACATGAGATCATACATGATTTAGTACCTACATAACACTACACATCTAAAAAATATGGCTTCCAACTTTGACAACCACATACAAAAAAGATCATCCATCAGAACATTACACAACCAAACAACATATCAAATTACCCCCAAAAACCAACCATTTACCCCTAAAAATCAAAACCCAAACAAAGAAAACTAACATACTACTCTGCCACCAGTAGTAGTTTTAGCATGGCATCACTACACCCACAACATCTAGCACCCCAAATAAACATGTAAATGCACTCATCATCTTCTTCATTGTCGTTACCTCAGTCGTCACCTTCACATAAGAAGGTTGCATGGAGAAAAAGTGGTTCTTATGGTCATCGTGCATGTGTGACACATCTAGCAATCCTACCCTAACATCATCGACTTCACTATTTAGCGCATCCATGTCCCTACACAAACTGCCCCTTAAATCACTTAAGTCATCATTGATTTCCTACCTGATAAGGGAGACTTCTAGCTACAGTTGGAGGAATGTTATCTGGATGTCCTGTGGTCGGGCTCTATTTGAGCCATTCTCGTCGATGTGACGACAATCTTGGAATGATCAGCTACGACGCGGAGAATTAACAGAAGGCATTTTGACGTAGTTAGGGTGGGAAATGCTGTGCGGAATTAAGGAAACAAACTTTGTGGGAATAATCCTTTTAGGGAACAAAGAGTTTACTTAAAGGGCCTAGGGTAATGAACAATCAGAAGATTGGAGGTTAAGATTGTATACTCAAAACGTCGTTTACTCCACGTCAAAGTTGATGTGGCTTAATTTGCTAACGTGTCGCTATTAACCGGCTAAAGTAGATTCGGGTGACTAAAAGGACATGTCACTAACAAGTTTATTCCCTCAAAAAGGATGAAAATAAGTTAAGAGAGTGAATGGGTAAATTCGAAATATATTGTTGGGCTAATGTATCATTTTCCCTAAAAAATATCATAAGTTTATTACAATCTATAAAAAATAGATGAATATCCATAACAATTATAATTTTTTTCAAAAAAATCTCGAGTTTGACCGAGTTTTTCTGAGTTTCACCAAGTTTTTCGAGTTTGACTGAGTTTTTCTAAGTTTGACGAGTTGGACCGATTTTCTCCGAGTTTAACTAATTCCAAGTTTAATTGTCGGATTCTTAGATAACTACCTCGATATATATCCAATTTCGAGTACTCGACCAACTTTTACAATACTGCTTCAAAGAGAAACAAGCCAATTGATTCTAGGAATTACGACGCGTGAAATGTTAGATATCTAACCAATTTTTGTTGGTAGCCATTGTATTTAAAGCATAAAGATATGATATTTAGCAAAAGATATTTTCATAGATTCATAAACTTCATATTTTCCAAAAGAACATATACTTAAAGATAACAAAACAACAAACATCTTCTTTCCTTCATGAGTATCATCAGATACATATTTCTTTCTTTCGTCCTTTCATTGATAAGATCGAAAATATCTAGTAAACATATAAATACATTTAGTTTTTTTTGGTGTTGTTAGGGAAGTCCTTAAGCTATATGGTTAGGTCCATATTTTTATTGAATCCATTGCTAACTTTATTCCATACGTTTAGAACTTTCCTCCGCAAATGAAAATCCAAGTACATGTCACGCCTTACTTGTTTGATCAAATCATCTATGGATAGGATGGTGGTTACCGTATTTTTTGCTAAAAATGTTTTTTTAGTTTGGTGATCTGCCTGTAATATGACAATATCATTGCCACAATGGTAACGAAGACAAAACAAAGCACTCTAGCAATAATAAAATAAAGTTGAAAACAAATTAAAGATTAATGTACCTCTCAAATTCAATTCCAAATGGCAGTTGTAATGTAAGGGCACATATACAACCTTAAGGACTTATGTAAACGAACTAAATATGTTTAATTGGTCGAATATAGATCGTGCGATTATCAGCCATACCCATAGGAGAAGATGCACTAGGATTAGGATTGTCAATCAGTTTATTTTGAGATACTTTTAATACTTTATCCAAAATCGATAAGCTTTCCTCCACAAGTTAAGAGGGGAATTTTGAAGGATTAATAGTTGTCCAGTCTAATGTTTTTTGAATGGCTTAAAGGGATTTCGACCCCTCCCTTTGCCGGTTGTATTTGCAACATCAGCCAAGCCATCAGAGCCACCAAGACCAGATTCGGTTTCATGTTCCAACAAAGTATCTAAGACGCTAGTACTCATAAATTCATAAGTTGTCGCTTCATCGTAGGTAACTAAGCCATAAATACATCCCCTCCTCAACAAAGTCAGCAGTTTAACACATTTTTCTGGACATCCTCTCCTCAACAAAGTTAGCCGTTTAAAATGTTTGTTATCAACAAGACACAACTATCGTTTCCCCTTAAAGTTCCAACACAGACTCAAACCAACCATGCCTAAGTATGTCTCGTCAGGTTTAGACAATTTAATGACATTAGCAGCAAGAAGAGTAGCGTAGTTATCATGCTCCTTAGAAAGGGTGAGGGCCGAATTAGTAGCACAACCTTTAGGCTAAGCGGAGCGGGGATGTTAAGCCCACTCGCTACGCTCGCTAGCGAGCCATGAACAGCGCCCCCTAGCGCTCGCTAGGGGGTTGCCATCCGATCCTCGTTACAATTTTGGCGAGAAGTGAGAGAAGGTGAGGGTGGGAGCTGATTGGTGGAGCGGTCCCCTTCTTCTTCATCGTTGATTACAGGTCCGAAATTATCATCGCGTTCTTCATTTCTGCTCCGTCGCCCAAGGAGAAACACACACGGTCCCCTTCTTCTTTTTTTGGGTGATAATTTAGGTTTTCTGTGCAATTGTATGATTCCAACGAGAATAAGTTTGATTAAATTCGGAATTGAAGATAACAAATTGCACAGAGGGAGAACGATTAAAGAAATTGCACAAAGGGATAATTTAGGTTTTCTGTGCAATTGTATGGTTCTCGCTTGATAAGGCTGCATGGAGTGGTCACGAGTGATTCTAGTGTGGAGAAGATGACATGTCATTATTTACCCTTTCCACAACCTTGTGGAAATGGTATTCACTAGTGGTTAAGGTGTGAAGAGGCAAAAAGAAGGAGAGAGAGAAAGAAAAAATGTGAGGGGAAGAAAAGCTAGCCAATGAGATCATCCGTCTTCATGCGTCTTCACCAAGACGCCACAACCAAACCACCGGGGCTAGGAAATGGTGTTCACGCGTCTTGGCCCCTCCACATCAGCTTTTCACGCGTGAAAAGGCTTCCACTCCGGATAGCCTAATCTAATTTCTGTGATTCTATGGAAACTAGGGCGCAGGAAATTGAAAAGATGAAATTTGTAATCGCCAATAGATTCCTAGAAAGATGAACGATTAAAGATGTAGAAGACAAGGAGTCGACTCTCTCATGTCAATATCTTTCTTTGAACTCCCGATTTCTGGATACAACATGTCCTTCTCGGCCTCTCCCATTCGAATCGTATCTCAGTACCCCTTGACTTGTTAATATTTATGTTAGATAAATGCCAAAAATGGAGTTCCTTTCACATCTATTTATTGTGTTAACATGGGACTTAAGTGGTGATACTGTCAAGCAAAAGGAAACTGTTGAGGAATTGAAGAAAGCAGGTTGATTTGGTGGGGATTTTTGCTTCAAATAATGCACAAAAACATTGTTCCATGTGATTTTGTAGGTTTTTGTGGGTATTGATATGAATTTTATCTAAATGTGTTATTTAAAACTTTTTTGTATAGGTGTTAGGTCTATTGTACTGCACAAATAGATGTTGCACTTTTGTTATATGTGTTTGGTCTAAATGTAAAATATATTGCACTTTTGTTAATTAAATTTTAAAATAAAAAAAATGGAGTGTTATGACTCGCTTCCAAATGCTAAGAATAAGGTGTTAAGAGAGAAAAATGGCATGACACATAAAAAGATGATGTGGCAAGGTGCTAGGAGTGTTACCACTCCTCCTAGCCTTAGTAACACCAAATTTGACCTCCATACATGAAAGGCCCTATTCATGACAAGAAAAACTCATCTTTACAATGTTTGATCGACTCTTGGGTTCCACATTAAAGCTCTTGTCGTCCTAGACGACTAGAGAAAGCAACCCAATCACCTCTAGACATGGTGCAATAAAAGTAACGGAAAAGAGTAAGGTTACACAACATTGCAAAACATACAATCTTCCGAAACCCATTGGGCGAAATTTGGGAAATATGAAGTTGATAATATCGCACAACATTGCCCAAAGATCGAAAAGTGGGAAATCATAGTCTACCAAGCATAAATTGGCAATTGACGCCAACCTGGAGCAAGACGATTGACTTCATCACCAACATCAGGATTTATGGCAAAATTCACGCCCTATATTAGAATAAAACTAGAAATATATCGTAAACTTTTAATATACTAAAGGACGTTAAGTAAAATAAGTTGGCACCAATCTCAAAGCCAAATTTTATGTTCAGCAGTAATAAAAAAATAGTAAATTTAATATAATTAAAAGTATACAAAGTTTCTAGATTGATTCCATCAAAAGAAGACAACAGGATTACTAATGTTTCTAGATGAATCAAACAATAAATAAATTATTATATGTTTCATTTTTTTTTATAATTGATCTCAAACATGCGTAAATCTCTCATAAACTAAAACATCATTATTCAACGACGCAACAAGAAAAGAAAAAAAAAAAGCAAACAAGATTAATTTGATCAATCTAAATGTAAGCTTTCAATCCATGATCAAAAATACTAAGAAAAGCCTCCATCTCAGTAGCCGAAAGACAGACGCCGATCTCCAGATCTTCGTTGGATTCTTTGTAGGCATTCACAGATATGGATCCACTATAATCTATGGAAATGGTTTCGTGCTTTTTGGGCTTCCCCCATCCGAAATCCAAATCATAAAACTTGAGCTTTGGTGTTCCAGCAACCCCCATAGCTGTTGTTGGCTTCAGCTCGGCAAACAAATTGTCCAACGGCACATAATCTTTCACGATTCCATCCTTATCAGTCAAGACCTGATGTAGGCTTTCTCCAAGCAACTTGGTAGCAGTCACGAATCCTTCTTTTCCTGTTAAAAGCTTTGTTTTCTCCATAGCCAAACATTACGTGACACAGTTTCCAAAGTAAGCCGCAGGAATCGGTGGATCCAAACGTGCCCTGCAATCAATGGTGAAACCAAATACTTCCAGTTCATCGTTTCGTGATTCTGCGATGCAACTCCAGATATAACCACATGCAACAGTAAAAGATGATACATATGCTAACGTTGGTAGTTGGTTTGAAACCAATTCCTTCAACCGATTGATGACACTTCGTTTCAAGATAAACGTGGCTCGAACTTTATCAGTTGGCCCAGAAAGACTTGCAAGTTGATACTCATTGTCAAAAGTTTCAACCTTTTGGCTCTTCAGATAGCTTTCATCTAGTTTCGGGTATTTGAGAACTCTGTCATAAACAGGCATACTTCCATTAGCTAGAAAGAACTCATCTGTGCCAGATTGAGCTATGGATGTCCACGCCTTCAAGAAACAAAACCGGGTGCTAGCATCACCAAGGCTATGGTGATTCGTCATTCCAATAGAGAATCCGGAGTTGGGAAAAAGTGTGACTTGAACGGAGAAGACTGGGATTGATATGAAATCGGAAACTTCAGCAGTGCGTCGGAGAAGAGGTATAAGATGATAAAACTTGTCACATTCTCGAGGATGGTTTCCTATAAGATCGTTGAAATCAAGGTTACATTCTGCAAACGTAACCTCCACAGAATCGCCTTCAACATATCGGATTTCTGGGTTTTGAGCACGAGAAGGATATATGATCAAGTTACCAACGAAAGGAAAGAAATGTTGAAGGGTGATTGATAGCGAATTTTTCAGACTGGGAGTGATTGTTTCAGTGAAGTGTGTTTTGGTGATTGGGAGCTCGTAGAAGAAGAGAGTGTTAATCGGAGGGGTGGTTAGCCATAAGAAGTCGAAGAAAGTTAGAGGCAGTGATCTGTTGGCTACGGTGGCTGGTGGTGGCGATACTTTGGACTCTTCAAGAACAGTCAAGATTGGAAGTGAATCCATTTCATTCAACCCGGCCCCTCCGATGATTCATTGTCCCAAAATTTGTGGGGTTATATTATATCTGGCATAGATCTCATTTAATGTTCAAGATAATAAAAAATATATATTAAATTTAAAACAATTCAAATAGATATAATAAGGATAAAAACTCGGACACGACTTCTTCTTGCTTCCAGGAATGTAAAGAATAAAAAAAAAAATTTGACCTGTAAGGTAACGAAGTAATAGAATTCTATAAAAAATATCATTAAATTTTTTTTATATATATCACCAATTAATTATATTGTTTTTATACATATGACCATTAAACTTTACTTTTGTTCAAAAAAATATCATTATGTTACCAGTAATAATAGGTCACCCGCCACGTGTCATGTTACGTGGCTGTTGATGTGGATTTTACTGTTTATTATGTACACATTATACCATTAAACTTTTTTTTGTACACATTATACTATTAAACTTTTTATTGTACATATTTTACCATTAAATTTTTTTGTACACATTTTACCATTAATCTTATATAATTTATTCAAAAAAATAACATTTCAAAAAATACATATTATTACATAAAAATAAGTTTCCCATCATTGTTACTCTTTGATTTTGTAAGGTTTGGGAAAGAGTGTTCGTTTTTGACAATGATACTAACCACTCCCTTTTGACAATGATACTAACCACTCTCTTTTGCAACTGCATCATATATTTATGTTGATTATACATCAATTGAACCCATAATGTTTGAACTTGAGACTTTCCTATGGAGAAATACACAATTATTCATTATTTAGCTAAAGTTTAATAAACTTACCATTTTAAGTCATTTTCCTATTAGAGTGTTTATATATTTATACATTTAAATGTATTAAACTTCAACTAAAATAATGGATAATTGAGTAATTATATATTTATACATTTAAATATAATAATACGTACTATATGACAAGCATATGGTTTTCAAATGTCAAAATATGTATTTATACATTGAAATATCTATTTTCATATGAAAAAACAAATATTTATTGTAAATATGTTTTATATATATGTAAAAAATACATATTTATACATTGAAATACTTTATGGTTACTTGTAAAAATACTTTATACTTATATAATAGTATTAAATTGTCATCTTGGTGGCTTGTTGGGTAACACTAGTGCACTCTAGAGGGAAGTCTCAAGTTCAAACATTGTGGATTTCGATCGATCTATTACCAACATAAATGTACGATGCAGTTGTAAAAGAGAGTGTTCAATATCATTGTGAAAAGCGAACCCTCTCCCCAAACCATACAAATTGAAGGAGTCACAATAGGTGATGGAAAACCCATTTTTATGTAGTAATATGTATTTTTTGAATAAATTTTATAAGATTAATTGTAAAATGTGTACAAAAAATTTTAATGGTAAAATGTATACAAAAAAATTGTAATGGTATAATATGTACAAAAAAAAGTTTAATGGTATAATGTGTACATAAAAAAAAGGAAAAATCCACATCAGCAGCCATGTGGCATGGCACGTGGCTTGCCACGTGGCTGGTGACCTACAATTACCGGTAAGGTAATGGTATTTTTTGAACAAATGTGAAGTTTAATGGTCATATGTGTACAAACGTTATAGTTGGTTGGTGAAATGTGTAAAAAAAAGTTCAATGGTATTTTTTGTACAATTCTAATACTTTGTTACCCTTACAAGTCATTTTCCCTAAAAAAAAAAAAAATATCAATTTTGAAGGTTTGGGACCAAGACACCTTCAAAATCATGAATATTGAGAAGTTGAACGCATTATTATTTGGTAACTCCTATTTGGATACTTGAGGTTGTGTTTGGCGCCACAACTAGCTAATAAGCTAGCTGATTTTTCGAGTTTTTTTAAGTTGACATGTTTGACAAAACAAAAAGTAGCTTATAAGCTAACTTTTTGAAAAGCTATTTAGACTAGCTTTTTAGAAGCATTTTAAAAATTAATTATAGAAATACATTCTTTTAAATATCATTTAATGTCATTTTATATATTTCAGCCAGCTTTTTAGCTAAGTTTACCAAACGTTATTTTTTATCAGTTAGTTTTTCAGGTACCAGCTAGCTTTTTATTTAACAGCTAGCTTTCAGCTATCATCTAACAGCTAGCTTGTCAGCTAGTACACAAAAACATAGTAGAAGATTGGTTGTACCGAAGGTGTGAAATGAATCCACATAGTAGTGATACATCCTATTGAAGCCAAATGTGAGTTGTATAACCCGTGAACTCTTACTTGTACTTCATGAATAAAAATCTGTATAAAAATAGTTTTGCATGCTTTTAATTAGTTTTTGAATTAATTTTATATGTTTTTAATATTTTTTGAAATAATTTTGTATGATTTTTATTAGTTTATATTTATTTTAAAATAAAAAATTGAATAGGTTGAGAATAATGTAAAATATGAGGTTTCATGTGATGTGGGATGGGAGAGCTGAAATAGAAAGGAAAAATAAAATCTGATGTTTCAAATATACGAGCAATAGGTTGGAAGTGATGTAAGAGATAGACTCTCTTCGCCCTTACGAACATCATAAGTTTAAAATTTTGGGAAGGGTATCTTTGTTAATATTATGTTATCTATATAATACGAAAAACAGTGCAGATAATATTTCATTTCCAACTTATTTCATTATTTTTAATGGAGTAAATTGCAAAATTGATCCTTATAGAATCCAAAAAAATAAAGTTTGAATCATTTTTTTTGGTCCGTACAAAATTGAAACTTTTATACACATTTGGAACCTGTGGTATCCCAAAAGGTGCATATTCAGTCCTTCAAGTTAATTAACGTCTAAAAAACGAACTCAAGCTGTATTTTTTGGGATACAAGAAAGACAAAATATGCATAAAGTTTCAATTTTGGAATTAACGATACGAAAGAAAAAAAATAGACTCAAGCTACATTTTATAAATACAATAAGGACAAATTTTGCAATTTACTCTTTCTTATGCTTAAAATATATTTCTACTACATTATTCATTTTTAGTAACTTATTGTAATATCCCGAAATCATAGGGTAATATTTTTCATTTTTATTACAATCAAAACACTAATGTAACTTTATCGAAACAATTAAAAGCATTTCAAAATAAAACAATTATCAGAGTTCATTCCCGAAACCAAAAATTGCGGAAAACACGGGTGTATGCGCTGGGATCAAGTCGGGCCCTTTCCTTTCGAACCGGAAGTACCGGAAACCATAAACCACAAACTATAAGCACAAAGCTTAGTGAGTTCCCCAAATACCACATACCATACATATCCAACGAGTCATACATATCCAACCAATCAATAAAAGTGCTATGTGCCAACCATAGTCTTGCTTTTATGTCACGAGCTGCCTCGGGGTCTTCCTTGCCAAGCCGGGGGCCAAAATCCTGGGTCTTACAGACAAGTGTCAGGAGCCACCTTGTAACAACGAAAATTTTTAAACCAAATTTTTTCATCTAAAGATACATTTATCCCAATCCAAAAACCACAAAAGTGTCATAATATCAAATCATCAAATCACATATCCAAAAACTATATAAATCATAACTCCATGATCCTCTCAAAACATAACTCCAACTCTAATGTGTGTACAATCAAACCGGCGCCTTCCCGTGATCCTGAGGAGTACCTGAAACACATAACACATAACACGGTAAGCACGAAGCTTAGTAAGTTCCCCAAAATACCACATACAACTAATTAGCCACTCGAGGCTATAACTCTGTAAGACCCTCCGGTCAATGTGTCTCAGTGGGACCCTCTAGTCCCACAACTCTGATGGACCCTCCGGTTCTAACTCTGTGGACCCTCCGGCCCTAACTATGTAACTCATAGCATAGCATATATATATATATATATATATATATATATATATATATATATATATCATACAGACAAATGAATAATATCACATAACTCAAGTAAACACATAAGACCCTCCGGTCACTCATAGATACCACTCATGGTAAGTATAGTGAGAAGACTCACCTCGTAAGAATCGGATAACCTCGAACTCAAATCACTGGTCTAGCCCCCGCCTAACACATACGATAATTATCCCTCATTAATAATGGCTCTCATGAAGCTAGACTAACCCTTCTATAAACTCACAGAAGGGTAAAAGACCATTTTACCCCTCTATGGGCTTAATAGTCGAGTAATTGACCAAATCCTAAAAGTCAAGCAAAAGTCAACGGCAGGGAGTACGCTGCGCGTACCACCTCTCTACGTTGGGCGTACTCGGCTACCATGCAGGCATCGGGGATGCTCGACCCCTACAATGCGCGTACTGGGATTACGCCCAGCGTACGTCCCAGTTTCACTCTTCTCACTTATTTGGTCTTAATCAGTTAAGACCTTGGCTCATATCAAAGATCTGGACTCCCTAAAAGCTCTTACTCCATAAAGTCAGTGACTTTAAGCCTTTGCATGGCTGGAATGGTCACAAACGCACAAAACACTCACTCTATTTTCTCAACAAGATCATAACTCATGCATGGCTTGATACCAACGACCAAGATTGGATTTTTATGGCATTACACAACAAAATACACTCAAAGGGGGTGGATCATAGTGTCTGGAGTACAATATCACATAAAGTCTCCAAGTTTTGGGACAAAACCCTAAAATACCCTACTATGATGCAAAAACCAAAAGAGTGAAAAAGCTTTGAGCTTTATACCTCAAAATGAAGCTCCACACTCAGATAAACTCAGATCTAAGGCATGGAATCCCACTCCTTCTTCTTCAAGACTCCTTCTTCACTCCAATGAAACTCAAGAATACTCTCAAGGCTCTCAAATGCACTCACAAGCTCTAAGAACGAAAACTAGGGTTTAGGAGGGTTGGTGTCTGAGAATGGTGGCCAGGAATGAGGCCATCATATCCTTTAAATAGGGGTCTCACCCTAAATTAGGGTTTTCACTCTGGGCCTAGTACGCCCAACGTACTAGGTGGCTTCCGCGTTAAATGCACGCATATG